TGACTTCTAAAATATAAGCACATGGTATCCTGGGGCTGAGCTAATTGTACAGAATGAAAGTTATTTCAGAACCACATGCACAGAGCTTGGTTTAATCCTTCGTCTATAAATCATATTTTATTAAAACTGTAAGCTTGTAAAGTACTGTACATCCATCTGTTTTCATTCTGTTTCTTTTCCTGGTGAGGGCTGCAGGCTTAGTATTTCATTTTTCCCCAAAATAAAGAGTAAGAAAAAAGGACCTGATGTTTTTCATTTAATATTATGTTTGTTTTTTGTTACTTTGTTACTGTTGTTACTTTGTTACTTTGTAAGTGTTGTTGCCACCTTAGGCCTAATCATGTCAGATCTCAGAAGCAAAGCAAGTCGGGACCTGGTCAGTACTGGAATTGGAGAACCCTAAAAACCTTTAGTTTGCACAGTCTATCCATCCTAATATTTCCCCTAATATTTGTATAGAGGGTCATAAGGTCACAAGGTCACTATCCAGGTGAGGCTTGCACTTCACTGATTGATGCAAAGATCCACATTTTGTTGTCGATTGAGCTTGCAATCATCATAACACTTTCAAATTTGACTTTACCTTTAGAATCTACACGGTCTATTCCAAACAGCTACAATAAGTTTAAAAAAATGTCAATCAGTTAGTTTATTCAATTATTCAAAAAAGATTCTCAGTTAATTGCTTTAAGTTTAATTGTTTAGTTAAGTATTTAATCCTTTTGTTGTAGCAACCCTAAATCATCTCAGGTGCAAAAGATTAGTTTGAAACGTCACAAAGTCGTAACAATTCTATGTGTGTGATCAAGTTAGTTCAATGTCACCTCAAAGTACTCTCTCAAAGTCTCTAAAAATCCTTAGATATTGAATTTGAAGACACAATATCTTTGAAAATCTAACAGTAAACACCAAGAAACTACCCAGATCAAGCTTCCTTCCGAAACTGACCTATAAGTCAGGCAGGAAATCATTAGAGATTCCATGGTTGAAGTCAACAGTGACTTTGAAAGATCTGCAATCTTACATGTGTGAGATGGGCATCAGCGTTCATACAGTTCATTAACTACTGTATATCTCAGTCCTATATTTTCAGTCTGTGTGGGTGGGTGGCAAGAAAGAATTCAGAGTTTTCCCGGTTAGCAAATAATACTGCCGTCACGCAGCAGAATGTTTTGTGTCATATGATAAAATTTTAATATTTTAATATATAATAAAAAGCCTTAAATATACGGCCAGCATAATGGAGCACATCACCCAGTAGATATCATCCCAACTGCTAAGCATGGCTGTGTAAGCATCACGTTAGGAAGACTGGGAAGCTGCAAGTGGATGGTGCAAAGGACCTATGGATCATAGAGGAAAACCTGCTTGAGTAACCCATGAATCTAAAACTGGGGTAAACACTTCCCACAGCAGGGCAGTGGCCTGAGGGAAAGGCCAAAGTCAGACTAGAGTGGTCAGACAAGACGAAGTGAGGCGCGTTAATTCTTATTACTGCGTTGGTGGTACCAAAACACAGCAGGGTGTGGGGTTCACTGGCCAAAGGGGATCGATAGGTGGCACTTGTGGTGAGTTACAGTAGATATTAGTGAAATGATTGCTTCATTAAATGCTTCTCTACTGTGCATCTTTCAATCCACTTAATATGGAATATTAATATGGTATTATGTAACTGAAGGGGAATTTTAGTAGCCGAAAATAAAAACAATAGAAGTATAATGTCTCTGAACGTCATAATCAATATTCATTTATTAACTCAGATACTAACTCTGAGTTACTAACTATTTTGGAAAAGTTCTGACATGCTCAATCTAAATGTATACATTTTATATACTTTATAGAAAGCTGTTATGTTTTAACCTTTTCTATGAATACTTGCTGTTGTTATTGTTGTAAAAAAAGTTAAATCCACTTAATAGGGAATATGAATAATATGGAATCAAATAAATTTTGCTGAAATGCGTAGCTGAAAACAATAGTCATAGTTATAGTCATTAATGAAATTAACCTAAGTATCTAAATATAATATATTTATATAGCTGGTAGTGGTACCGTATTCCACTTTCTTGTAAACATCTGCAACGATTTCTTTAAATCTTTCACTTGTGGTTATCATGAAAATAAAAGTATTATAATATTTCTATTTAAAACAGTATTATTTTTTTATTTTAAAGTCTTTATAAAACTCCATGAAGACAGTTTACTCTGAATTTAAATTAGAGCTGAGCGCTTTAATACATGTTATTAATTCAGTTTCATTTATATTATTTAATTGCAAAAAAACATGTATAAGAGGATTTAAACCATTTTAAGTTTTCCAATTAATGGACAGTAAAAATAAACATTTTCACTTCTCACTGAATGAGCTGTACTTGAAACTCAGTTAGATCTAAGCAGTCAAATAATGAAATTGCAGCTTTAATTAACCCTGCTAAATCTGTAGTTACGAAGTTGTAATTATTTGAATGCCATAGTTGTCCATTTATACATTTTTAATTGTGCTGCTGTTCCAGCTGTTTTTTTATTACAAGAATCCATAATTAATGACCTGACATTAGCTAACCTCCTTGAAATTCCATAGTGCAAACTGCCAGTTATTTTGTATGCTCTCCATACTAAAATATACTGTACTATCAACTTAATTTAAGAAAACATGTTGCAGCTTTAACCTCTTATAATATGTTGTAGATAGGTAGGTTTCTAGTATTTTTTATTAAACCATTTCCCTTTTTATTTTTAACATACTGCATGCTCTCAGATTATGTACTGTAGTTAGTTGCAATGCTTGGGTTTAGGTGTCACAGCAGCAGTCTCTGAGAATTTATTTTAGTGAAGAAAGAACAATGACAAATGTGTTGATATTCCTGTGAGGCACAGGATTATTTGGCTGATTAAAAGGACAGTCATTACTTACAATGTGAAGAGGATGTCCTGGGGTTGTGAAATATCTGTCACGAGGCACTTGGATTACATGTGGAGAGAGGTATGAACAGTACTGGAGAAAGTTACTTTAAAGACATAATGCACTATGTGGCTAGGCCCTTATTTGTCAGACTGTCTGTGAATACCAGTGTACCTCAAGGACACATGTTTTCCCATTATTCTATTTCTTGTAGACCAAGGACTACACCTTTAGTGAATGTTCAGTCAAACTAATTAATTAAGTTTAAGGGTGACATCACCCTTGTAGGTTTCATCACTAATGATGATGAAACCATTTATTATAGGGAGGTGCTTCAGGTGCTACCAACTACCCGAAACATTCTCCAAAACCTCTGTTCCCGGTAATCAATAATGTGGCAGTGAGTGTGGTGGAGTCCTTTTTTGTTTTTGTGAATTATGAGCTCTAATACCCTTAAATGGGACATGAATACCACCAGTATCACAAAAAAAGCACAACAGATAATGATAAAGTTCATAGGGTGTGTCCCCACTAATTCTAATACAGTTTTACAGAGACATTATTGAGACTTCTGGCTTCCTCTATGACTGTTTGTTGTGGCAAGACAACTGTCTACTCCAAAGGCAAACTACAGTGTGTTGTTGTCTCTGCGGAGAGGGTCTTTGGCTGTCATCCGCCCAGCACTGGTGATTTCTACAATTCTAGAGCAAAGAAAGGGACAGGAAAGATTGCAGATGACCTCTCCTACCCAGGACCACCTGTTCCATCAACTTCAAGGAAGATGCTACTGGCCTACTAATACAAGAGCCATTCCGTTTTTAAACAGCTTCTTTCTAATGTTTTTTTAACCAGAATTCTTAGTTGTACAGTATGTGCACTGCCTCACTGATGTCTTGATTGTGGTACTGTATATGGTATACAGTAAGTAGATTGTTTTTACAGCACCAAGTACACCAGAGTAACTAACTTGTACTGTATTTGTTGAATAAAGGCAATTCTGATTCTGAGTTGGAAGTTGCTAATGTCAGATTATATTTTTTAATTAATAGGAAGTGAAGAGAAATTGATTTAAAGTTAATTACTTTGCATAGCGATTATTCAAAAACTACATAGATCACAATAACTGATAATCTTTTCAAATTTTCACCCAACATGTTAAATTTTAAAGAGTAATCCATTAGACAAGTGACGTGTAACTATTTAACAATCCTTTCCTAACACTGGGTACCACATTTGCTAAATACAAATACAGTATCTTTGCTGTTTCCTACTGTATAGCATTGTGTAAAAGAAAAACTGTCCATGTAGATCTAAGGAGGGAACTTCAGTCTAGAGAAAAGAGAAAGGTCTGAGATTTCAAGATTCCATCCCGTAGACTGCAAAGGTTAGGTATTAAAATAAGTAATGGTCAGTGACCTGGGCAGTTCACAGCTAAGACATGTTTCTAAGTGTGTAAAGAGACACAGCAGATTAGCTGGATTAAAGAATCAGCAGAAAATAAGGTCACATCGGAGTAGAAAATGGAAGGCCACCCTCATTAATAATGGATCGCATGATTCGATCAAGTAATCCATAGCTGATCTTCTTCCATGTCCTTAGAGGGGGTTATAACACTCCTGTCTCCCTATAAAAGAGCTTTAAAACTCTCAAGAACCAGCCTAGGTGCTTGTATGTTTTGTCTACCTTGGAACATCAAACAGCATACTATGGGATACTCTGGTTATTTATTTTGTTTTTATAAACATGCCTATGCATTAAGCCCTACTGTACTGTACTTAGTAGCAAATTTATAAGAAAGACAAATAGTAGGGATATATAAAAGAATGGGTACCATACACACAGAAAAGTTTAAACTTTGAATTAAGTGGATGAGGTTTTAATTATTTTTGTATGTGTAACAAAGTATGAATATTTTAGACTTAATACGAGGCTCATTTTGCAAACACTGTTATCATGAGCAAAATATGTGTTAATTTAAATAATTCTAATTAAAGATCACTGGGAAAGACATATGTGCATTCATGCATCATACATCCACACAAAAAGCAGCCTTTGGAGTGCAAGTAAATCACAGCATGCTTTCTACAATTCCCATTACCTGCAGTTGGTGTCTTCTGGGCAATGCATATTGTGGCATTTTTCCTTATTTTTTTTTAGCTTTCCTGGGTAATTTGTAAGTGAGTGAGTAATATACCAAAGTCAGGTTGCTGTTCATGTTCTTTTCTTCAGACTGCTTGCTTCTGTGTAAATATACCTGTTTTAAAATAACATACACATCTATTAATGCTGGGGTGAATATAATGATGTAATAGCAGACTCTTAAACGCATCAACAAACTCATCTCTCAGAGGATCTCCTCACAATCGGCAGGGAAACACAAACCCAAGCACACATGTGCAAACCACATGGAGGAGAAGAGTTAAAAAATGTGAACAGAAGTTTACAATGGGAATTGGGTGATATCTCTTCTCATGGCCTTGAGCCTTGCAATCGCACATGGCGGAGACTGAGAGAGTGGAAGTGGATTCCTTCAACCCAGACATGAGAGGTTTAGTGCCGATTGTAAGAGATGCACACCAACAGTCATGCAAGCCTGCAAGCATCTGATACTTCTCTGGTAGCCAACTAAATCTGCATTACTCTCAGCAGCACCTCTAGGTGAACTCCTGGTCAAAGTCAGAGAGTGGCATGACCCCGGCTTAAACTTGCAATCCTGCTCCTGGGGAAGCACCTTTACTGGTTGAGCCACGCTGGATCACTAGGAGGTGCTACAAGTAACTTTTTTTCCAAAATTGGTTGTGGAATTCCGGAACAAGATACTGTACCAGTTATGTAAAGATGTTGAAGTCCTGGCTTCTTTCGAGAAACAACTGGATGAGATCCTTCATCAATTAGCTGTTAGCAACCAAACACGCTAAATGGGTTGTACAGCCTCCTCTCGTTTGTAACCTTTCTTACAATGTGTACAGTATGTTTTTAGATCACTTTTAACTCATTTTATTTAATTCTCTATCTAATAATGCCCTGGGCGTTTGTGCTGTGGGTGTAAGATATCATTTACCTTCATTCTGAGCTTGAGACAGATCGAGTTGACAAAGCACTAGCTTAGTTGGGAGGGGTTCCCTTGCATTAACTTGCCTGACAAAGATGTAGAAAATACCAACAGAAAAATGTCGTTCTTTGAGGTCAACCACAATTGAAATGAAACGTGGAAAACTAAGAGGGCTCATCATGTTAGTTTGATACTGCAAAGTGCTGACAATTCTGAAAAGAAGGAAAGGATGAATGTCTGGATAGATGAAATGCTATAAACATTGACAAGTTAAATGGCTAAGCAGAGATTACAGAAAGGTTGCTATTGCCCAGGGTGGTAGCAGCTTCTGGAAGAAGGAGGAACAAAATAAGAGAGACTGTCTCTTTTGATAAACAGCAGCTGAATGCAGAATACAGTTTATTATATGGCTGTCTCCAATAAAGAGCCCAGACTAATCGCTAGCAGCCTGGGGCCTGGCTTTGATTCACACTGTTGTTATTTAACTCTTGAGGTAAGAGAAGTAAATACTGCACAAGCAATAACAATACCAAAGAGGGATCTTCTGTGCTGATTTACATTAACAGTAAAGACAAATTTAAGAGATTATTCACTGCTGCTTATTTTATATGTTCAATTTGTTTTGTTTAAATAATTAATTTGGGGTTTAATTAAATTAAGACAATGAACTTAAATAGATGGAACCTTCCTGAAATTTAAGGTATTTCAGTACATTCAATCTCCTCTTTTCATAATGGTTTTGTACCTGCAATGTTCAAATTTGTGTTGCCTTTTTTTGGGGGAGTAAGCTGTTTATTCCCTAAATCACCGATTCATAGTATGTATTCTTTATAGAATTCTACCATTAAACCGTAATTGACATAGTAGTTTTTATTTTTATCACTTTGTTTGTAGTTGGATGACTTAAGTTTTAATTTCAGTACAAGTTAATATTTCCCTGAAAAGGAAAGTATAACACATGAGGCTTAAACATCTGTCTCATGCTGTTAGCATTGAAATTGCTTTAGTACTACAGTATATTATGTTTTACATTTATTTGAAAGAGGAGCATTGACTTTAATCTCTGAGATCGGATTAGATGACCCCAAAGACACAATTTTCTATGGTGCCAAAATGTTCAAATTGTTCATGAGGGGACTTTCAGATGCTCCTCTCTGATAAACAAATTTTGACAGTAAACCACCTTACCATCCCTTTGTGATGATTAAAGTTCATGTATGTGACACTAATCTGCATTCCCGACAAAGCCAAGACTGTCTAAGCAGTTTTGTTGTTAATTGTGTATAATTACCATTAAAAAGTTACACTTAAAGTAATGGCACAGTTTGAAAGTATTCAATTTTCATGAATGATCGCCATTATTTAAACACATGTCAATTAATGTCACTTCTTCTTCAGTGCATAATTACTGGTGCAATTAAGCTCTTTCTAACCATATGATACAGAACAGTGACCCAAGGCACTAGAAGCAATTTGACCAAACTTTTAAAATTAAGGTTCAGAAACTTTGGATCTGACCTTTCATATTGCTTGCTGGGAAAAAGATGCTGTGCAGTTTTGCTGAAAATTTAGTTTCTAGGGTTTAATGCCTTAACTCAGATCCTTAATTAAATGTGCCACCCAAGCCCCACTTACCTTAAACCTAATTTGCTAAAAGTATGGACAGGATCGTATGAAAAAAAGATGGCTCCCAGGAAGATTAATACATGCATGACAATGAACTCTTTCCACTAATGGATGAACTGCTGTGCACTTACAAATGCAGCTGTGAAAAAATACTGGTATTTTAAGAGCTTGTTTGAAACCACTCGGCTGTAACAAGTGGCCATTGAATGTAATGCTGGTTCTTGCCATAATTATCTATCATCATGTGGTTCTGTAAACACTGCAGTGTTTGAACACCATGTCTAGAGACATCCAATATGACCCGAGATTTTGAAGTTTTGAAAGAAATATAAGAAATATCTCACCATAATACAAGTTAGGTGTGAGAAATAAGATTACTGAAGAAAATACAATTTTTGCAGTGTTAGTTGTTTTTAAAACATGGAAATGGATGGATAGTTCTGATGGCCAGCAGCTGCAGATGGAAATTTAAATAAATACTGTAAGAGGGATTCTAGTGAAATGTACAGTAGTATCTCCTGTCAATTTGCAGCCAAGTAAGGGTTACTAAGTGGAAGTCTTTGGAAAAGGTGAGCTGATATTATAAATGTTAAGCCTAATTTTACATCACAGCCAGAAAGCTGACTTCCACTACTGTCCAAAAATGACCACTTCCTAAGTTCAAAGTGTGTTACTTTAATAGAATACAAACTGTAAAATCAGATACTGCGCACTGTCTTGGGTTTGATATTTGAACTGTGCAGTTAGGGATCCTGAAAGTGTGACTGAAACATTTTGACAGCAGATCAAGCTATAAATTATTATGTGATTACATTAATATTTTAAAAACGCATCACATTACCTTCTCTTCATTGGAAAAGTGTCCCTAATGACAATGCAGAAATAATTATTCTTTATTTGAAGGCAGTCTAAAGGCATATACTGTACACTGCTTTATACTGTATGCAGGGCAGTCTAAAATATTGGAAAAATAAATTAACTCATTACTTTTCATCTAGATTTTTTGTTTGCATGGGTGTAGAGTACTTCATTTATGCAAAGTAATGCTAGTTCTTTGGCACTTATAGCACAAATGATTGTACCATTGGTCCCCACTCCTAAGCTACACTTACTGTACAGTTCCATTTCATTTCCATGTACCATTTCAAACACATTTCATGTCAGGAAACACAAATCTTTAATGCTTATTACAAACAAACATTGTAGCTCTATGACTAATTGTACAGTATACAAAGTTTTGAAGAAACAAAACATAAGTTGATACAGTATACAGTTTTACTGTGCCTTGAGAACCTCCCACATCTGAGAGGTCACAGTTTTGAAACCAGTGAGACACATGTAGAAAATCTACCTGGAACATCTTTTCTGTTGTCATCCAAGATCTTCACAAAATAAGAACGCATTCACATCAAGATTATTGAAATACAGTATTTACTGGATGCATAGGGATGATTACTGAACTAAAATGTGTTTATATTTCACTAATATTTGTGCATATGGAGATATACAATAATATTTACATTTTTGTAATAACTTTATAATATTTACCCTATTCAGACGAATGTGTAAATTGCAACTCTTTTTATCACCATTTGAATCTTTTATTCACTTTCCTCCTGTTCTTGTCTTCCAGGTAAGTGAAGCTCATTTCCAGCACCCTCTATGAGAAGCGGATAGAACTAATGGAGATCAACATGTTTTTGCTCATTGGAGGCGGTAAAAATATTTGTTATTAAACATCAATAGGTGAAAAACATATTGTGTGAGACGGAGCGAAATATGTAGGATATGGTCATAGGAATGAATAGGTAATAGCAGTGGTATGGTAAAGGCGAAAAATATTTTCATACTGTAGCAGTTAAAGGGGAAGACTATAGACAGGCCATGCATGATTCAAAGAACAGTGTGTGGCAGTGGGTCAGTCAGTTGAGAAACAAAACAAGCTAGTCAGGAAAAATATCCTTGTATAGTAACGAACCTACCTCATGTTCCCAAAGGCACTACAATGTTGTACAGTGGGCTCTGACCAGAGTATAATCTCCTATAATCTCCTATCTTGCACTATTCTTCCATGTGTACACTGCAATAGAAAGCTGATTGCATGCATTTTGTAGACATTAAAGTAACCTGTAATGAAGATACAGTATGCATGACAGAGATGCCTGTGTTGTTAATCTGCAGGTTAACAACAAAAAATAATACTATTCTGTTCTAAAGATGTCCCAGTGTCCTCTTACATTTGTAATCATGGTATCTAGTAAGAATGAACTTATTTTGGGTCCTATACACTATACAGTACATCATGTTTTTCATTCCTTTCATCAGAACTCATTTAACAATAAAGGTTGGTATTTATGCCTCCGAATATGGATATATTACATTTTGAGCAATGCCGTTAATAAATCCAGACTGATAAGATGTGGCGATTCACTGGTACCCTTTCAGCTTTGCAGTTATATTGTAGGATAGTGAAGTTATGGCTGAGTGACTAAGATAAGCTTCCTCAGTTAGTGACTGACTGACTCTGGTCTTATCTGCACCCTAGAGGACCGTGTTCCTCTTATGTTTTAAAAGGTACTGTCATTTATTTTTCTTTGATCTGAACCTGTTACAAAAAATGAAAAAAAAAACTTATTCTCCCATAAAATCTCTTTTATTCCCTGTTTTGGGAATACAGAAAGGTTCATATTTATCTTCGTAAAGATTCCTGCCTGAGATGCAGTGGAGTGTTCAGTTTGGTTAGAATTTCTGCTATGTTCAGTCATAGCAGGTGAAGTAACTTGCCTTTTACAAGCAGAAGCTGCCTTTCAATTTCTTCTGTTGAGCTTGATCCAGTGTTGTCTGTTTTATTTCTAGATGAGGTATTACAGAGCTTTACATTAAATGTCAGCAAGCACATTATAACTGTCAAACATAGAATTGCCTCCGTCTCCTGCCATATTGTAACTTTTAGCTTTAACATCACTTAATACTTTTGAATGCTTTCCTTAGAAGACAGCAGTGTTGACAATACAGAATTGACCTTTCTGACGTATTGTTGCTGTTTTCTACTGTTTTCTTTCATTTTCTCTGGATCTGTTTTGTTTCTTAGCCAATTCTAATTGCACTGAAGAGAGCTGAACATTTCTATGTACTGTAAATAGTAATGGGAATTCTGAAAGCAGAGAAACAGATCTGTAGGAAAAATAATAGAAAACAAGACAATGCTATCACATGTGTGCCAATTAAACACAATAGGTTTACAGCCTTAGGTTCATACACAGTGCTGTACTGTGATTGCCTGCCTTCCAACCAGTCAAAAGTCTCAAACTCTCCAGAAGTAATGTTACATACTGTAACTCACTTAGCAGATATCGTAGTACTGTATGCTGTCGTAAGTATTGTGTTAATGCTACTGGATGGTGTCTACGGTTATGCAGTGACCCGAAATAATGTGAAAGAAATGTAGTGAGCCAAACAAAAGGGCACAGAAGAATTGAAAAACAGCAGTGAGTTCTGGATTTTCTGATTGCTTGCATGATAGTTAATCAAAGTTCATTATGATGTCATTAATTTCTAGATACAGTAGGTTTGGCATTGCATGCTCATTTTTACTTTCTTTCAACAATCATTTCCAAAATTGTGTTTATATAACTATAAATTCAAGGTGATGACTGTTTAACAAGTGGGGATGATCTCATTTCTGTAATAGTTTGATCGGAAAGGAAACACGCTTACATTGCAAGACAGAAGGCCGCATTGTTAGAATTTTGCCTAAGCTGATTGGTTAACATCATTATTGCTGAACACATCCCAAGGACAAAGTCACAGGAAGTGCTTGCGAGTAAAAATGTTTTCTCTAAGATACAATCACATTTCAGCTTTATGTGAGGATGAAGGGAAATAACAAAATACCTAGAGATGAAAGGGCAAAGAACAGAGGAGAAGATGATTTTCAGCAGATAATATGCAGGTTGATTATGTTATTAGGATATGGAGTTGAGGCCATATGGAGACTTGCTTTCAAATTGAGCTTGACAGGTTTTCACAAGAATGCTTTTCCTTTATCACGTAAATCTGTAGCCAGTGATTTGTGATGCTTCTCCATGAATTTAAAGAAGGAAAATATTCATTTACCTCCTTGGCAACAGTTGCCTCACAGCACTGGTCCTGTTTCTACGGGTTATGTTTTACCCAGACGTTGAGTTTGCGGCTGAGATTTTTTCACTTAATAATACGTTAGCATCTATATTCTGTTTTATGCTGAGAAGTGTGCTGTCCTCTTCTAAATATGGATTCCAAAATGATTTCATGTCAGAAAGCAGTCAGTTTAGTTGAATTGTATAGTAGTTGATCTATAGAAGAGTATAAAATGCTCACATGACAAGATGACCTCAAGGTAGTGGGCAGCTGCTGCCAATGAGAAGGACAATTTGGATGTTAATTCTTGTTATGTTAATAGTTTCCATGAGAGAATCTGTGAAACAGCTTTGCCTCAGCATTGTAACAAATCTCTCACAGAAATGGCTATATTACTGTCTGAAAGGCTTTTTTTTAATTCAGTGCATGTGCCCACTTCTAAAAGTTAAGGTGTGGTTTATTTAATCAACAATTTCTAAAATGTCACCTGGGATTGTGGCAATGCTTTAATCAATACACGTTATTTAAGGGATTTGGAATCTCATGGTACAGAGTGCCATTTACAGACATTAAGTAGATTATAATACAAGAAAAAAAGTTTTAAATGCTCATTAATGCATTTGGAAGCATTTATTCCTAGAGATTAGGGCATGTAATGCATTGTCATAACCAAGAGGATATACATGCTGCTTAAGTGGGATGATTGAAGTGTGAAGTACCTTTGATGTACATAATGCTAATATTTTTCACAGGTGCGCACGCTTCCAGGAAGTAATTGGAAATTAAAATATGTTCCAGACTGACCTTAGTTTGTGTGATAAAACTGAGACAGAGTAAATAGAAACATTGCACCCAGGCCTATTGTCACCTCACTAAAAAATTATCTGTAATAAGTATAAAAGCCTGAAGTGTTAATTTTCATTTCAGAAAAAATGGTAATTATAGATACTATAATGTAAATCAGGATACTTAGAATAAAGTAGAGAGAGAAAGTGCATGTGAACGTTATATTGAACTACTGCTTTTATCTGTCTGTGTATTCGCACACATTTGCAGTGATCTGCGAGTGATTAAAGAATAAAGCCTTTATCTTTCTAGTGAAGGTTTCTTATGAAAGTATACCATTCTATCCAATGTCAAATATATATAAAGACATGCATTCAAAGTTTGGTCAAATTTAAGTTACTATGTCCTGGAAAGGATTCAACTTTACAGTGAAGAATGTAATCACAACATAGATAAGCACCAGAAAAAGAATATGATATCTTTGGAATATGATTTAAAGGTTCCATCTCCAGTGCATAAAATGTCTTTCTGTTATGCACACCTTAGTAGGCATTTAGTATAGGTCCAGGTCAGTCGAGTATATTACAGTATATGAAGCGGACCAAAGGGGGAACTACATCAGCATGCAAGATGCGCATGAAGAGGTTAATTCCACATCTAAAAGTAAAAAGAAAAAACATTTTTTCTCATGAAGCCATCAGATAAAGTGTATGTATAGCATATTATGCAGTACCTTGAAAAATGTGATAAAAATTGATGTGGTGCATGGCTTTCCTATCTTTGCCTTAATCCATGCATTGCATTTTCAGCCTTTTTCTGATTGATTTGCATGTTTCACTTTATCTCTTTGTGCTACTAATGCACAGACTGTCATGTGAAGTCATCATTTCCCAACAATCTTAAATGACAGTGCTTAGAAATCTGATCATCCTTTATCATTTAATGGAATTCAGATTTGTTGAAATAAAAAACATAGTTGCTTTAATTAGTATTACAGTATACCACTGGTTGAGTGAAGGACTAATTTAAGAAAAGTCGAAACAATTTTATGAGGGTGTCCAAAGGATAAAGACTGGTCCATTGCAGTGGGAAAAGATTGTTAGAGATTATGAACATTTGAAGAAAGTATGGTAGGGATCATTCCCTCTATGATTAATACTGTACCGATACACAGTGCTACACTATTGGGACTTATTATGGAAAAGGAGGACAAAGTGGGCACTGTACAGTATATCCAAACTCAAAGTACACATCGTAGAATCATGTCTGTTGTGTAAAAGTGTTTCCTGATTGTTATGATGGCCTGTCAACTAATCTACAGTAGTTTATTATTCACACACACACACACACACACGCACACACATTTCTGCAAGTATTGGTGTGTCTTTAAAAACAGGTATACTGTATACACATACTGTAGGAACATATTCTAAATGGGCCTGTAGGTGCCTGGAAATCTCAGCCGAGAAGAAGTAATGATGATCAGACCTGGAAAAGGTCAAATGTACAAATGAGTCCGAGTTTGAGCCACTAGGAAATAACCAGCTGGTCAGCACCAGATTATTCTGAGGCAGACTCCAGTTCATTGTAATGGTAAGTGTATACTGTAGTACTGTAGCTGTAGTACATCTTGGGAGTGTACCAGAACATGTGTGGGCCATGTCTTAGCTAAGAGTATTGGAGACTTGCATAAAACAAAAAGTACACTGACTGAGGACTGA